CATCGTCCCCGATCACCCTAACACGACATTCATGTTCTAACCCTAATATCACACTCGATACTCAACCAAATTAAGTGTGGTTTGTTCCCACACCTTCATCTAAGTGAGACGAATACATCTATATGGCTATATACACATGAAATGTAATCTTTATAAAGTTTAAAACTGAGAGCAAAATTAAGGATTTTTATTTATACCTTTGCTCAAGAGGTGAGACCTCAATTGAGTTTGTTCCTGAGCTTTGTATTGGTCCCACAAACCTTCACCAGTCATTGATTTGAGCTGTTGTTGGGTCTAGGTATGATTTTGATGAAGATATGGATCTAGCTTGGTTTACGACAAGGTTAGGGTGCTCGGGATGATGGGGCTTCAATTGGGGAAGTGATTTTGTAATGTGGGGAAGCTTTTGGAATGTTCAATTTGGAGGTTTGTTGAGTTTGGTGGGATGGCCATGAAATATCCTGATTGTCAGTTGAGAAATTTAGACTGGACAGTGGGAATGAAGGGCTAAAAATGATTGAAATGGGCTTAGAAACACTATAATTAGAGTTTCGAAAAATTTTGTCAGAATTTCCCCAAAATATTCTTACACACTGTGGTTTCTCATGCAAGTATTTGGCCATGGTTTGTGCACTTCTTCCCTTTGGCCATGGGGGGTGCTTATTGAGGAGGAAGAAGGCTCTAATTAGGCTGGTCAGCAGGTGTAAAAGCTTGCTTAAGTGGATGGAAGAAGAGGACCAGTGGTCAAATTGATTGAGCCAACTCAGGGGGTTCTAATTTTTGGTTTTGGCCTCATGGTCCCCCTCGACCATGGTGTTTTTCCGGTGGCTAGGTTGGCTGGTCGGTCAGGCAATGTCACCTCCACACTGTGGGAGGTCACAATTTGGGAGATGTGAAGTCAATGTCGGTCAAACAACGGTAATTGCAATTTTTCCAAAGTGGGCAATGGGTTTGGGTTAGGTTGGGTTAACCATGGGTTCAACCCCATGAAAATGGCTTGGGGTCAAGTCCAAGGTGGCTGGAGTTGTTGGATCAACTTCTAGGGGATTGGTTGATTGATCTGGCATGGGAATTAGAGCTTTGGTTAAGTCACCTAAGTGGGAGGTGAAAGGAAGTCTGCCTTTTGCCACATTTGGTGTATATGACCCATACAATGCTCATGGATGGTTCCATGAGTGGTTTCATGACAGACATGAGGTCATGGGTAATTTTCATGAAAGTAGAATTTGGGGATTTTGAGAATTTGGTGAGAGAAATCCATGAGACCAAAGATGGGTGGGTTCATACATGGATACGTGGTGCATGGCCATGATGTCTAAATTTAATTCCCTTTCTTTTTAAACTAATGAAGTGGAAATTTGTCATGATGAGCTTAATTGAAATTGAAATTGGGCTTCATTCATAGGCTTTTAAATTTTATCATGAAAAGAATAATTTGTGCTTTTAGGATGGGTTAAGGAAAATTGGTTTTGGGCTTGGCCAATGAGCTTAGAATTGTCATGAAAAAATTGATTTTAGGTTTAGTATATTTAAATTGGTGTGTAGGTCAAATTTGGTAGATTTTTGGACTTGGTGGAATTTTGGTATGGATTTGGACATTTGGCTCAAAATTGGGAGTTTTGGGCTTGGAATAGGAATTTGGGTTTTCATTTGGTATTTGTTGAAATTGAATTTGAATTTCGAGGGCTTGAATTAGGGGTTAAATTGGGTATTTTGGGGAATTTAGGGAAATTGGGTAACTTAAGAGAAATTTGATAGGATGATCATGCATGTCATGACTAGCCATCTTGGGACCATAAGAAATCAAATGAGAGCTCATTCGTAAGTCTCTTCATGTTGGACTTAGTCATCCCAAATGACATTTAGAGGCTTGTGAGCACCCAGGTGAGTTCCCCAAAAAGTTAAGGAGGTAGGTCTAGTGTGTGATTTTAGGGTTTTGGGGTATGTGGGGAAATTAATGGGTTTGAGTGTGTGTAAGTGTGCGTGAGACCAAACCTAAGTCACCCAGAGTTGTCCTAAGGCCTGGTTGAACAATAGGAACTCACTCCTGAGTCTCCACATGTTGTTCTTAGTCATCCCAAAGTGACATTTGAGGGCTTGTGACCACTTCGGTGGGACCTGACAAGAGGAGTCAAGAATTGCTTAGAATTATTATGTGGGGTATAGATGCCCTCACTAGTCCTATAAGATATTTCATAAGAAAATTCTAAGGCTAGATCCTAGGTTTCTAAAGAGAATAATTTGACCTCATCAAAAATGAGGTCAACACTGTCTTCATTCAAATATTTTGACCTATTTTTTGCCCTTCTCTTCTTAATGACTCAAGTAACACTCATTAACTGAAACCATCGATCCCTTCACCCTTGTTGCTACTTTTCTCATGATGCTTGTGCTTTTACGGCCCATCCTTCGTAACTCGTGGTCATTCTTAGTATTTTTACTATATGGAGCTTTAATGATGTGGGAGCCACAACAACATTTTACACTTTTATTTGGCAGCTTATTGCATACGGCTTTATGCTTTTAATTTACATGGACAGAGTAGAGAGAGATAGAGAGAGAAATATGTCATCAATCAAATCATTATTTTGAGAAATATGAGACATCTAATCAGTACAAATAATAAGATCCACTCAATGATAAGAAAAAAAAGTTTTGTCATCGTAAAAATTAAAAATTGCATTGATTTCTTAACTATTCTGACTTTAAGATATAAAAGTATTATTACTCTAAATTTTATTAAAAATAAATTAATCTCGTAATCTTTACGATTGTCTTAAAAAAGAAATATAAATTTTGGAAAAACATATTCATTTATTATTTATTGAAATAATTTTGACCATCACATGAAAAAATGAGGAACACCTACTAATTAACACATCTAAAGATCCAAATAACTTAAGCTCAAGATAAACCCAATTTGAGACTAATCAATCAATTTAAAGCTTTGACAAATTTCTAGAAATTAAATCTAAAGCAGCATGGGTAAAAATGTAAATTTAGACTATTGTACTGAAGTGATAACAAAAAATGAATTTATAAGATTGATAATAAAAAGTCAATCAAGATTTGAGATATAAGATTGTAGAATTTAAGCATAAATGCATTGATTCACCAGTTTAAAAAAATCATGTCAGGATTAGTAGTATAAATAATAATGTTTCAAATGTTATGTATGTAGTTATCCCTATAATATTTTAATATTTTCAAAAGCTTTATACTTAATTCTTTAAATTTTATTAAATTTAAAATTATTAATATTATTTAAAAGAAGCCACCGCTCAAATTTGATTTATAAATTCATCAAGCTCAGCACAATAACCATTATCAGCTAAATTTACAATCATGTCAGGATTAGTAGTATAAATAATAATGTTTCGAATGTTATGTATGTAGTATCGCTATAATATTTTAATATTTTTAAAAGCTTCATACTTATTTCTTTAATTTTTATTCAATTTAAAATTATTATTATTATTTAAAAGAAGCCACTGCTCAAATTTGATTTATAAATTCATCAAGCTTAGCACAATAACCATTATCAGCTAAATTTACAGATATCATTAATCAATTTGGCTAAGATGCCTATCTTGCTTATGAGAAAGAAGATAGAGCATTATGTATAAAAACATTATTTGTTAATTTCCCTTTTAAATTTGTTAATTTCCTTTTTTGTGGGAAAAAAATGTTAATTTCCCGAAAGTAACAACAACACTCTTGGTTGTTCATTTCAGTACATGTCTATCGGAACCCATCTTATCCCAGTTGAATTCCACAATTCACTGATTTGTTGAATCGAGAGCATCATGACATATTTACATAAATGCAATCCTCTTTCTAAATAGGAGACGTTTATATAACATTATTGTTTATTATCGAGCCACACTACCATTTTTGTAAATTGGCGTGGAGACAAACTTGACTCAAATCTTTAACCCGAGAGCTGCTTGGGTTCCCGTTTATGTAGCTTGCAACATGGTATTACAACTTAATTTGTGACGGCCTTGGAAACTCATGACGAGCATCGATGACCCTATTGTGTTCAACATCCTAATGGTCGAGATACAACCCTAGTTTCTCAAATTCTGATAGGGAGAACTTTATAGAGTAGAGCAGTGGGGATTGCTTTATTGGTGAAGTATAAACTGCTTCGTCGATGGCTCAATCACAATACCTGATGATACTAATACTGATAACTTGAATGCTTGGATAATGTATAATATTATCATAATTTCTTGGAACCTGAAAATACTAACCAAAGAAATTTCTGCCAGTGTTCTTCAACTCAAAAAGGGAAAGAAATTTGGTCAAATTTTAATGACTGATTTGAAAAAAGAAATGGGCTAAACATATTTCATTTGAGGTATGAATTACTTGATCTCAAGCTATAACATCATTCTGTTGGTGTTCATTTCACTAAACATAAAACAATATGGGCGAAATTAAGCAACTAAAAACCAAAGTGTTCTTGGAGCAACAATTGCTACAAATCATTCTTCTTGTTCAGACCACAAGGATGAAAATGAAAATGAAGGAACATATGAAAATTTTCAATGCTTGAATGAAAATCAACACAAACAGCTGATGTCGATGTTTTCAAGTTATCTACTCTCAACATTAAAAGTTGGTGAGGATGCCTCTGCCTCATTTGGAAGGTACATAAATTCCGGTAACTGCATTGTCTCACAATTCACTATATATTTGCATGAATGCAAAATTGTTTCTAAACATGATACGTTTTAGGTAACACTGCTATTACATATTAGCAAACCGCACCACAATTTTACTAAATTGATGTGGAGACACACACATAAGTCTGATTTTCTTCCCAAGAGCTGCAGGGTTCCCATTTTTTCATCTCGCAATGGTTATTTCAGAGAACTGTCAAAAAGCAAGTTTCTCGGTAAAAGTAAGGATGAATTAATTTACATTAGCAGAAGAAAACATTTCAACCAAATATCTGCCAACTGGGGAGCAGCTGTATAAAAAAGAAAGCAGAGAGAGGGGGAGAGAAGCATAATTCAATAATTAAGCGAATATTTGCCGTACAAAATAAGAGGCCCATGCCACAGAATAAATGATATTTTACAATGCGAAGAATGTACACGAATATGGTATAAAAATGCATCCACTTATTCGGTCAGATAAATTGCGGAAAGAGGCTTCAAAGCTTCGAAATGGCGATGTCCATCACATCTACCAGAAAGTCTGCAGATGTAAAAGAAAATTGTTAAATAATTTCAATACTTTTGATAAGCAAAATTTCGTATAACATAAAAGACATTGCATTTAATGCAGCGAACGCTCACCTGCATCTTCTTTGGTGAAGCAGAGAGGAGGTGTTATTCTAAAAACATTCCCATAATAGCCACCCTTTCCAATTAACACGCCCATTTCTGTGACATGGTAAAGTGCTCTTTAAGGTTCAAAATAATGATTTGTAAAACAAGTAATCTTCTGGAGCAAGTACATAGATTTAAAAATAAATTAATTGTTAGCAAAGATCAGTGAAGAAGTGTCTATGATGGAAGGTAGTGATTCTAATTCACTGGTTACTAAGGCTTCCATTAATAGAGAAGGCATTGTTGATAATCAATAATATCTATTCTTCTAAAGAAAATCCTAAAAGCTTACTTTGTGTACTTTGTGACAATAAAAAGTAGACTGAGGTTGGTGTTCTGAATTCTACAGACATAGACTTCTAATAAGGACATTTTGAAGAGCTTCATCTCTTTCTTTAATCTTTCTTTCAGTAACAAGTCCCTTTTTTCATGATAAGAGAAGACAAATATTTGCAATATTTTAAATCAAAGTTTATGTACAAAATGAACTCCTCGGTGGACTATTTTGATCTTCATGTGGATGCAAATATAGGAGGATCTTATTGAACGACATAAATATTATGTGTGCTTGTGTTTTGTTTCCTTGCTAAGCCCACTGTTATCTTAGCGCTTTGTTATCTCTTTTATCCTAAGGATTTTAGATTCTATGCCTTGTATCTATCATGACCTTGAGGAATAGAATAAGTGCCACCTTAAAATTACAATATGGCTCTTAGTATTTCAGAAAGGATCATTAACAGCTCTGTTTCACATGCTTTTTCTGATGCCGGTATTTCTTCACATTCTGATGGACAAATATGACTACTTTACCAATGTAATTTGTTCGAAAAGAAACAATGTTTTTTCCAAGGGTGCTTCTAAAAATGAATGGCATTACGGTTTCATGACATTTTTGTTGTGAATTTGTGGCCGAGCATGTCAAGACAAAAAGGGGGACCGAGTTCGAGTATTGCTGCCATTAGCTTCACTTCAAATCTCAAGGATGAAATAACAGCTGACAAGACAATCTACTTGATCTTGTTCTTATTGATCCGGTTAAATTAACAGCTGGATGAACTAAAAGCAGGTTTTTAGGTTTGTAATGCTTTTTATTTGTTATCCTGTAGTAGGGTTTAACCAACCTCTACTAATGTGGTTCTTCTATTCTTTTTTTCTAATGAGACGGGCCTTGTCCCCGGCTTTAAAATGATAACTAAAAGGGTCAGCACTTAAGTAAACATGTAAAACAACAAGCATAACATTGAAGATATTATAAAGAATAATAAATCATGGAGTTCTACAAGGCTCCATCTGAAAGTAACGGAGCTGTGGAGGATGATAACCTTTCATAAGATCCAAAATTTGCAATATCTCAGCCTTGGCTGGAGTTTTCTCTTGGCGATCCGTCACTAACTCAACGCCAAGCATCAAGCCCCTTCCTCTTACATCACCAATGACTGCAAAAGAAAAGAATGGAGCTTCAATTATATCTAGCGAAACGTAAAAGCCAAAATTCCATAACAGTGACGATGATTCAAATCACAACAGAGAACACATGCTTATAATTCTGCACTATATAAGCCGTCTTCTTAAGCTATCTCAGCTTCAAGCAAAATAATTTGGCAAACATAGAGGAACCATTGACATAAATTATTTGATTTATATTTTGATTGTTGTGCAGTTAAAGATACATGTTTGTAGCACAATGGCCACAATTACGTGCTAATTTTATGAACTCATTTTCTTGTGAAATCAATTTTTGTAATTATGCATGAAGACACCTTATAGTGCACAGAATTATATCTAACATTATGCAAAAGTAAAAATTCCGAAGCAGTGACGATCATTCAAATCACAACAGAGAACACATGCTCATAATTCTGCGTTCTACAAGGTGACTTCATGCATAATTACCAAAAAGATTTCACAAGAGAATGAGTTCTTATTATTAGCATGTAATGCTGGCCATTGTTCTACAAGCATGCTTGTTTTACTACACAACAATTGAAATATTAATCAAATAGTTCATGTCCATCGTTCCTCTTGGTTTGCCATTAAACATGAAGCGAAGATAGTTTAAGCGATGCAATAAAAATGAAGCTGAAAGAAGAGAATCTCATAGAATTAGAACGAAGAAGGTGCACAAGAGAAAAAAAATTAAAGGTATAGAACAAAAGCCTACTTTCATGTTTTTGCTGTAACTCTTTGAGTCGGTCCTTCAGGTAAGATCCCACAACAAATGCATTCTCTTGAAGCTTTTCTTTTTCAATCACTCTTACAACAGCATGTCCTGCAGCAGTACAAACAGGATTTCCACCGAAGGTATTAAAGTAATTTCCCCTGGTCAGGACCTCAGCAATCTGTGGAGTGGTAACAACTGCCCCAATAGGTATCCCATTACCAATACCCTGATGACAGTTAAAATAAACATGTCAGCAAAAATGCAATCTGTACTACAGCATAATACTGGATTCAACCACAAATAGTACATGGGTTAAAAGTTCTCAAAAGATCAAGACATCAGAAAAAAAATATTTTTATTCTTATGGAATAATATTTTCCATTATCATGAGATGAATATTTCTCCTTCTACATGGTAGATGAATATCCTCCTAATAATGTTTTTGCATCTACTATTTTCAATAATCTTCAATGGTAGGGTCAAACTATTTAGAATGATCCACAATATGAAAAAAAAAAGCTAGGGGACAAATCTCATCAGTTTTCATGACAATTTTACCATTTATGAAAAATGCATAAAAAACTAGGACGAAATAAAAAAAGAAAAAACAAAGAGAAAGACTTGAAAGTAGCATGACCCATGTACTCTGCCAATCAAAATGATCAAATAAATTCTAAATATAACAAGCAATCCATTGATTCAAATATAAGACAATTATGTCACACTAAATTATAATTACAATTACCCTGAACTCTAGATCCTACTTCATATTCAATCATTAAAAATTATTGAAGTTTCAAATTGATGATCAAATAGTTTATAAAGCTTTTGAACTAATGTATCCTGCTAGTTTTTGTGCTGTTAAATTGAATAGAAGTTTTTTATCTTGTGCATTTGACCAGTAAAAACATGTTAATCTAAGAAGAAAAGAATAACTTTACTCCAAAGAGTGTAAAAATCCATCTCTAATTTTTATATCAATGATATCTCTATTGAATGAGTTCATGTATGATGCATGCCAATATCAAGAAGAAAACAGCTTCTTGATAAGATAAGAAAAAAGTGCTTATACTTCACCTTAGCCATAGTCACTATATCAGGAATAACCCCATGGTCTTCAAACCCCCAAAAATGGCTTCCAGTTCGACCAAATCCTGATTGAACTTCATCAGCTATGCACAGGCCCCCAGCTTTCTTAACTATCTTATATACAGCAGGCAAATAACCAGGCGCTAGTTCCATTATACCGCCAACTCCCTGAATTGCTTCAGAAATAAAAGCTGCAATCTGTCCAGAAGTTCCGAAGTCAATAATTTCTTGAACGTCTTTGGCATATTTTTCACCCTCAGAACCAAAAACACCTCTATATTGGTCGGGATTCAACGCATGATGTACTCCGCTCTGTTAATTGTACAAATAAAAAAAAGCAAACACATTAATAAACCGAAGACAAGTTGAATCAACTTATTACAAGTAATTGCATTTTGTTAAAATTTCATTGGCAAAAAATACATCATTCAGAACGACCTTTAGTGTACCGTATGCCCTTCTTATAACAAAGTAGAATGGTAATATAGAATTGCAAATTTTAACTACCAAAAATTAGATTAATGGAAAATTTTGTTATTAATCATTTAATCATTGAAAAAGAATCACATGGTAATGCCACAGATTCACAAAAATTACATATTGCATATTCAAATGAAAAATTTACAAACTGAAGTATAATAATTGTAATTTTATTTTTTTTAGTTTAAGAGATTTCCATTCCATTCCAACTGAGATTTTTAACGTTTATTTAGGATGGATATGCAGTTCTTCTTCTGATCTGATAAAATAAATATATACCTGTACAACATTGTACTTCCAAATGGATTGAGCAGTTGCTCCCATTGTTCCAGCTGCATTTCCATGGTACGCATTTCTGATTGATATAATATCATGACAGCCGGTATATAGTCGGGCAATCATCAAGGCAAGCTCATTTGCTTCTGTGCCAGAATTTGTGAAAAATACAACCTATATACAAAAAGGTAAGAAGAAGTTTAAGAAATTGGACTACAAAAAGCTGATCAAAAAATAATTTAAAATATTTCAGCAACACATATATCGTGTGGATAACGCATGCCTTGAGATCGCCGGGCATCTTAGAAGCCAAAGCTTCTGCAAAATCTGCAATGGCGTGATTTAGATATAAAACAGTAGAATGTTGAATCCGCTTGATCTGGTTTACAATAACATCGACCACCTCTGGATGACAATGTCCACAACACACAGTGGCAATTCCACCGAAAGCGTCAAGATAACGCCTGCCATCCTCATCAAAAAGGTACTGCATCTTCCCGTCAACGACATTCAACTGTAACAAAGTAGAATGACTGAGACAGAGATCTACTTTAGAAAAACTTAAGCATAAAATATAAACATTAAGAAGTAATCATTTTATTTCCGAACTTCATTTTTTTTTTCCCTTAATCATAAGGGAGTTGTATTGCTTTGGCCAACCCAATTGGTTTAAATTCAAAGTTGGTCAGCCTATTCTCATCAATTCACGATTCAAATTACACAATGCAGGACAACTTTCATAAGTCAAGGCTCAAGATTATATCTATAAATAGTAATGACTGGTTGTAAAAAAATTTTGCCATGCAATTAGGTAGGCAGCACCTTCTATTTGAATTTAATTTTTTTTCCAATCATACTGCTTTAACGAATTGATTTGAATCGATGTACAATTAAATATGCTTGCTTATGCCTGACTAAAATAGATTTGCCGGGACAATTCAATAGAAATTTAGATTCTACTTATGTTAGGAAAGATAGAGGTAGACTCAAAAAAGACTTAGCATGTTGTATGAAAATGATCTTCATTTATTAGAATTAAATAAAAATATGACACTCAATAGGACACAATAGAGAAAAATGATTCATTTAGTCGACCCCACTTTCTGGGAATAATGTTTCTCGTTGTTCATGTTGCTGTTGTTATTAATGTGTGCTACGGCTTAGTGGCCGCACCATATGAATTTTCTTATGGGGAACAATGTTTTTTTTCCCATACCCCAAAACCTTTGTCTAGCCTCCATTCCCACTTTAGTACACAATCAACCACAAACCCTAGAAGCCACCTCTTGACCTCAACACCCTCATCAAAGTAATAGGTTTTGTGTTCACAGGTTCATCCACCAACAAATTCTTATCCTAGGCTTAATTGCAGGCTATGGTTGCTTAAGTTTAGAAAACATGCTCTTAAGAAATATAAGAATGTGCTAAATCTATTATTAGATTGTTGTGTAGCTAGAGATTGAGAATGGTTAAATGCTCCAGAAACCTCCTAAAATTTTATAGAATATAATGATTTTAATTTTACACGCAAAAGAAATAAAAAAATGAAACTCTAACATTTCAAAACATGTTTTTTATTTACAGGAAACCACATGATCGCTACGTTTAAGAAAATAATTATATTTACAGAATTTTGAGAGTGTAAAAACTCTTCTTGACTTTTATTTATGCTCAACCAAATGATCAAAAAGAAAAAAAAATTATTATGTTAGCTAGCTTAGTTGGTTAATCATAAGTTGTTGTCAAAAACTTAGATTGGAATCCCACTTACATCAAATTTTTTTACTCAATACTTACCAATCCAAAAGAATAAAATAAAATAATTATTTTCCGAAATATGTTTTCTATCCATACGCAATCAAAATAGACAAAATTTTAATGCTAAGAATGCTACTGTGAATTAAAAAAAGAAACACACACATTTTTTAACCTAAAGAATTAAATAGGTGTTTTAATTGTTTTTCAATTTTCGGAAGAAAAAATTTATGGCATATAATCTTCATTCAATAGCCTTATACATCATTGCCAAGAAAAATTCTCTATCAGGCCACTTTAGCTGTCTACTTATAAGACCGGGAATACTACAGTGAATGGAAAAAAAAAACACATTTTTTACCTAAGAAATTAAAAAATTGTTCTGATTGTTTTGCGTTTTTGGAAGCAAAGATTTTAAGGCGCATAATAATCGTTTAATAAATTTCCCACGACATTTCCGTGCAAAATTCTAACTTGGGACCCGGTTGGCTGTCGCCTTCTAATGCCACTAATCTATCTCAGTGAAAACCGAACTTCGTAATGCTCACTACATTGTATTAGGTATTCAATCAAAGCTGCAACATTTATTCCACGTAAGGCAGAGCGTCACTTACAGCATATTTTTAATTATAGACACGCTTAGTCCCAACAAAACTTTCCGGCCAAAACGTCAAATCCTGACTCATCATGTCAACTTTCTTATGCATTTATCCGCATCATTATCGAATTAAGACGCTGTTTAAGACAGTACAGATTAAAAGTAAGGTAAAATAAAGTTATCGAGCATATTTAGTTATGTTTAATCTGGAAAATATTATTTAAAGTAATTAAATTTTAAATTTCACTAGCAGTATTGATCTGGAATAAAATAAATGCTTCCTTTACTCAGAGAATGAAGCAAAAAAATAAAAATAAAAAATAAAGCCCAAAATCTACGGCTAATAGACGGAATTTTCAGCAATTAGACCTCCAGAGGGAGGTAAACACAAATAGATACCTAATAAGATCACTAAATATTTTCTGAAGACCAGGATCTTGAAAAAGATGACTAAAAAGTCAATGGCTGGAGAAGAGACCTGTGTATAGTCCCTCCTAACAAGATTCGGCGAGTCAAATGTAATTTATAACCTAAACAGAGCAATCACCAAATCGATTTCTATGATAGGAAGATCAAGAGCACAACTTAGGAATAATTGCAATTTATCAATGGTTTTTAACGCGATCAAGCTAGAGGGAGGTGCAGACGGAACAAGAAAAGAGAAGCTAATCAAACTTTTAAAAAGTATTTTATAGAACATAATCGATCAATGAAGATAATAGAAATCTGAATCCAATATAACGACTAAAATCGAGAGGTGAAAGAGCATACGGGATTTTTGTATAAATGGAAGAGAGAGGGGCTGAGGAACTCGGAGCGCTTTCGGAGAATCTCAGCCGTCCGCGGGCCATTGTAGGGAGGAGGGGAGTAGTCGAACGGGGGTAATTTCGGTAGGGTGGCATTGTTCTTCCCGTGAAGGGCTTCGGCCTCCGTCGTCGCTGCGGCAAGACCAGAGAAAGAGGATGCGTACTTTCCTGGCCTGAGAGGAGAAAGCCGCCGGAAAACCGCCCTCTGCATTTTATTGGGCAAAATTAGAAATCACTCTCCTCCCCCCTCCTCCCTGTGCCTTCCCCGCTCTCTTTGATCTCTAGATTGAACAGATTAGCAATGGATGCTCCTTAGTTATATATAGAATTTGCGTGAGGTAGGGGAGGGTTTGTCTTCCATTGAATTTAACCTTTTTTATTGGTAATAATTTCATTGCTTATTTGCATTCAATAATTAAAATTCAATTTTCTTAATTAGATATTAAAAAGCATCTTAGTAGGCACGCAACAAATCTTAATCCGACAAAATAGAACATATTTAAATGTGTTAAATACATGGCACACAATTCTTGCGCATTTACGTCTTTGTAAAACCTAAAATTGTATATAAAACAGCACAGACTCTTAGGTATATATTATTTACTTTAGCCTAACGGTACCATCCCAGAGAGAGGTGTAAAAAGGCTCAATATTGTGTATATTGTTACTTAATTTTGAATTGATTCAGCTTGAGTATAGCTCGTGAAGTAGCTCCCACTCATGCCACGAGGGCCACACAAATATGGGCCCATATTGCTCAAATGAGACTTGATACGCCATCAATAAATTCCCATAGCCCGACACGAATCGCAAAGCATGATACAGATTTCGAGACAATTTTTGAGTATGAATAATTCAAACTCTAATAAAGAATCATCCAGAAGTCTGATTTCAACAAATTTATAGTTAAACTAACATGTTTGGTATCAATATGGATCTAATCTGAACAAAATTTAGCTCTGATCAAGCCATCAAATCATGTTTGGAAGTCTTTTGGACTTATTTGGAAGATCAAACTAATGTCGAATCCGGCAAGGTCATAGTCTAATCGAGCGTCCGACAAGATGAATCTAATGAGTTCAAGATTACTCAATTCTAGTATCATTAAGATACTCAAATGCTCATCGAACGCAGTGTGATTGAAGGAAGCTTTTCGGACCATAAAATCAAAGTAGTTCATATTCCTGCATTAATTGCACCAAGAACATTATAAATAGAGCCCCACCCCATCTCATGGGAGGGGCGATGAAGGAGAGCTTGAGACTTGAGTGAAGGCTTGGGAAAAAACTTAGAAGATTTGAGGAGCTGAAGTTCGACACCGCTCCTGCCACCGTTGATTGATGCCGACCGTCATTGACCATCACCGTCGTCGTTGATCATTACAGTTCACCACCGATCGTCGTCGATCATTACCGACCATCGTCGATCGCCACTAATCACCGTTGACAACTGTCAACCATCATTGACCGCAACCCATCACTGTCGACCATTGTCGACCACCACCTGCTGACCTTGTAGGTCGTTAACATGGGAAAGTTGTTAATAAGGGGCTCATTGGCTCCAGATATATCATACATACATAGGTATGTCTCTAATACGTATTGTGTGCATGCATGTGTGTGTGTGTCTATATATATATCTCTATGTGTGTGTGTGTGTGTGTGTGTGTGTGTGTGTGTGTGTGTGTGTGTGTGTGTGTGTGTGTGTGTGTGTGTGTGTGTGTGTGTGTGTGTGTGTGTGTGTGTGTGTGTGTGTGTGTGTGTGTGTGTGTGTGTGTGTGTGTGTGTGTGTGTGTGTGTGTGTGTGTGTGTGTGTGTGTGTGTGTTTATATATAATTTTGAAAAGTAGCATTTTAAAGTTTGAAAATACAAAACCTTACCGATCTTTTACAAACAATGGTTTAAATAAACGAACAATATGTGTGTGTGTGTGTGTGTATATATATATATATATTTATATATAATTTTGAAAAGTAGCATTTTAAATTTTGAAAGTACAAAACCTTACCGATCTTTTATAGCAAATGGTTTAAATAAACGAGCACAACACTATAATTTGTGAATCTATCCCGGGGAATAGACACGTTACTTGAAAGTGAGGGTCGATCAAATAAATTAAAGAATTTATGACATCCGTTTTAATCTGCGAAATATTTTATGTTGACCGACAAGTTCTCCTATCTAATATGAAAGATTAAATAGAGTTTATATTAAGCTGACTTCCAAAAAGGGCAAGCCCCTATAATTAATTACATCTTAAATGGCCGAAATCATTCAAGAAAATACTCAATTTAAATTAGAGGTACTTGTCTTCATGAATCTCAAAGTTTAGTATTTCAAGGTCGGACGTAAGAAATCTCAAATGGGAAAGATCAATTAGGAATAGTTCTTTTCGGAATTCAAAGGGAGAGAATCAATGGAGGTCACGAATTCTGAGGAGTATCTCAGTGACTTCTCAAGCTTTCATATGATTTAAATTCAATTTTGACGAAATATTATTAGATTTTTAATTCTATCAAGTTTATTATTCAGGGCTTACACTTACATGATACGATCATTCAAATAGCCTAGAATATATGAGGGTTTATGTTGTAACGAACGACAATCTCAGAGCCTAAAGCGAGTTAGGGCTTAAATTGCACAACATGGTTGTGCAAAGGCCTAAATATAAGTTGAGGATTTATGTCGTACTTGACGGACTATCTCAAAATCCTACGGCTTGTTATTTAGTTCAAAGGAAAGGTTTGTTGATGGCGATCTCGTTTGCTCTCTCGAAGATGTTCTTCTATATGTCCTCGTCATGCTGCCCATAGAGTTTGCTCCAAGCTCCTCGTCAAATTAGCAGCTCCAGGTGAAGGGTTTTATAATTTTGCAATTTATGTGCCAGGTTTGTTTTTGTTGTTGTTTTTTAACTATTCAGGGGAAATTTTAATTTACATAAGTGACACTCCACGAATAATTAAATTTGATCCTTCATCTGGCAAATTTGATCCCACGGTTTCATCATCATGGTACCACTATTTTCTCTTGATTTTACTTTGTTTAAACAAGTTATCAAGCTTATTTAAACCAGAGAACTCCAGTTAGCAACTGTGGGTTACCTCATCCAAGAAATTCTCGTAAACCCAAAAGAAGTGTTTATGTTCGTTCATTATTTTGAAAGTGTAGATTTAGTTTTGAAAGTGTGTTTTTGTCGTTTTCGATTTTGGTTTAGATTTGCATGTAAAATAGATAAATACATGTAGAAAATGTTATAAAGTAAATAAGAAAATTGCATTATATAAAATGTAAATGCGTACATGGGTCTTAGCTATCGTTGTATGATCAACATCATAAAGTATAATATATTTGAATGAAATTTAAATAAATTATAGGAAAGTAAACAGGAGCATTTGATATAAAAAGTTGAAAAGCGAGTCGTAAGAAAACACGAATAAGTAAAATAAAACTCGTGGTCACATATGAAAGACCAGGACTAAATGTAAGACATTGGTAAAGTTGGGGGCTCCAAGCTGGATTGTGTGCTTCCCGACCTTGAACAAGAGCTACCAACCTAATAAGCTACGAAAGGTAGTCTCTAATATCGATCTGCGTGATTAACTGTGGACCTTTAAGTTTTCATTTTTTTAATTGTAATTTTCATGCATGTAGAGTTTACTTTAACAAACAAAAGAAATTTTGTTTTACTTTTTTTTATAAATCTTTTGCAAAGCAACATAGTCCACATCCTCTTTGCCATCGGTCAGCCCCTTGGGAGCTATGATTGTCCATGAGGCCGAGTCGCCACCGCTAACGACAACCTGCAACTGTTCAAAGTGAGGATCTCAGTCTACAAGGGGGGAAAAACCTTAAGCAAGAATCATATGGTTCAAAAATAAATAAATAAAAAAGAAGAAGAAGGAAGAAGGGGGAGGAAGCAGTTCATCGAAGCTCTGATTCACTTTGGATTATGTCATTTCACCCATGTCATGGGATGAGATATTGTCTGCTGACCCCATCTTGCCAGATGAAGGATCAAATTTAATTATTCGTGGAATGTCAACTAGAAGGGGAATATTCTTGAAATTCAATTGAATTTGAACATCAAAAGAAGCTCTTACTGACAGATTGATCAACAAGCACCCCATCCTTCATTTGCCTTGAGTAAAAACCTTCCCAATGTACCACAAACCAAGTCAGATGACTCTTCCACTCTCGCCTCCTCAATTAGTTTCGACCTCTTGGTTAACCTCTTCTTCGATGACACTCCCTTGGATCATCGCGATCTGATCCCGAGTGTGATCAACATCCTTGATTTATCAACAAGACTTATCACAGAGTCAGATCTTTTCTCCATAGCAAAGTTATGAACAAGAAACAAAGACCAGAAAAAGAAACAAAGTTGAGATGATGGAGCTACTCCTCAGAGCCTCATATACAATGATCATGGACACAAAAATCCAAGGAGTTTATTTATGACATTTAATTAATGTTGTTATAAGGTTCTTTTGTTTTAAAATTTCCTTCTTCTTGTCGCAACAGTCACTATGAAGGGGCAAAAAAATTGAGAAATTTTAATATGTACATTGAAAATGTGCCAGAGCGAATCACAAAGACATCTCGTGGATAATAGAGGAGGAGACGTGGCCCAGCGGCCCTGCCAAAGATGACCAAGGACCACACGATCGGCTCGCAATCCACGTGCACCAGAAGGACGATGCAGCTCAGGAGGAATAGAAGGCGTATTGTCCCTGGAAATTTCATTGGACCAAATCCACTTGGAAGAACGAGTCGCCTTCCAACCAAGATAGGCCAGGAGAGTAAAGACGGATCTCACAGTCCCAGAGCGGAAGGTGTCAATCCTCCACAAATAAGACATGTTACTCGTTGACCCCGCTGACCATATTTATGTACGGACTAAAGTACCTCGCCACACCTACATCTGTTAGGAGTACGAAATGTAATTTAACGATGACCCATTCATATAAATAAATGATCCATATCATAAATAAAAGTTACGAAATCTACCATTCATGAATATGCTATTGCTCTCTCTCTCTCTCTCATACCCATCTTTCAATGCTCAATTCCTTAGGCAAGTCTCTCAGAAAGATTTGGATTCAACACTAATATAGAAAAAGAATCGTGATTCTATCCATACTCACAAGACTGTATACAACTGATTTTTTTTATTATTATTGTATTATCCTTACACTGTAATAATCTTTTCACAATGGACCCTCGGTAGAACCAAATTAATTTTTGTCTGCTTTATCAATTTTCTTACATAAACATATTTTCTATGTTGTGATTTAATCAAACCTCTATTCCAC